GCTTAATTCATTACTACAATCCATTATCGCATCGGTAATAGTGGCATTTACAAACTTTGAAATCGTGGAACTCATAAATGCCTCGAGTATTGCCCGATCAGAATCGCTCCTTTGGAGTAACACCAACAAAGATCTACCTTTGCCCTCTTTTTCTGATGGATCATCAGGTGTTGCAGCACATTGAAATTTTGGCTCATCATCTTCAGTTTCATTAGACACATTAGACGCTTTAAACGTGCATGCATCGTTCCTTTTCAATGACGTCACATCCATTGGTGTCAACTTCACAGCTGTCTCCTGTGTACGTAATCTCTGACCATTGACAGTCACTGCCTCGATCAAACAACTCATCACAATCCGAACGACACTCTCGATTGCGATAGCCACTTGCTGTTGAGCTTCCACGTAATGTATTACACGATGCATTATAGCCGCAGCTGGTAAGATATAATGCAATTGCTTCATTCTTAAGTGCCGCCGCACATATGACTGAATTTTTGCTGCCGCTTTACATTCCCTGTATCGTATTAGTCTAGCAAAAAACACACGCCCAAATGACTGAAGCACCACCAGTCGAATCTTTTTGATTGCGGATCTAACATGCTCGATTCGACATCGCCCCGCTCTTTGAAGCTGTACCACTGATGCCAGAGCCAAAGTCCTATGCGCCCGTGCAAGCCTTCCTCTCCATACAGCTTGGGTTTGCCGAATGAGATAGAGAGTTCGCTCATACTGAGATTTTTGATTTTGCATGCGCCTTACGCTTTGTATTAGAGTCGCTGCATTTGTCTTCCGTTGAAGTGCTCGATGACGAACCAACGCTTTAGTCCAGAGACTCTACAATATGAAGTGTTTCATGTGAATTTCTATATACTTTCTTTTCAAAATCTCAGCCACATACCTGTATCTTTAAAGCAGCTCGCCGACGCCGCCCGTAAGCTCGAGCTTCCTCAAGAACCCGCTCCTTGTGCAAACTATACCTTACCCTCAATGCGTGCGAATACAAACGATCTGGTGCTGTCTGTATATTTGAACTCCTTGTAGCTCCAGGAGGGACAGCGTAACCAGATATGTTAGTAAAAGTTTCGGGTGTAGTAAGTGGTCGCATTATGACTCGTACACGAGGTGAGTCTCTCGCTGTTGCTGACATGGAACTTGTTGGTCGTCGAGACGTCAATTGTACTGAACTACGATCTTCCGACACGGTCACAGAATTTTGATGGCCAGTCATTCGCCCTAAACGCGGACTAGTGACGTCCCGTGAGGAGTCTTCGAAATTTCTGTAAAGCCTCGACGGAGCCGGACGTTTTGTACCATAAACCGATACTGATGGTGACGTGGGACGAATTGGACCGGTCAGACGAGAAGCTTTTTGAAGCGGAGCTGATTCCACTGACGTAGCGTTTCGTTTGCTGTTTTGAAAGAGAAAGTTTTCGCGCAGAATTTTATAGGTTTCAAACATGCGAACAACGATCGGATGCGTTTGCGTCAAATGGTTTAAACCCAATTCCATTGCGCTAACAAGTGCATCTCGAGCTTGATCAGGCATGTTAAGACTTGCCCACTCGATGGCAAGGTTGTGCAATGTTGCAGTTCGTATTGTATCAAATACTTCAGTCGATTGACGATTTTTGCTTGCAATATTCTCAGTCTGCTGCTTATCAATCAGTAGAAGGCACGTCGTATACATGAAACCAGCTTTTGAATGCTCGTGCACCAATCCATATAAACACGCTTGCAAAAAGTACGTGATAGCAAACCGATCATTAGGTGCGAGCTTTTCGTTGATTCTCACTGCTTTTTGTGCCGCTTGTAAAGCTGCCTGATACTTTTTTTGCTTCCTGTAGTAGTTTGCAATATTTTGGTAAACAGCTGCTCGCTGAACGTGTTTCTTGCAATATTGGAGACCATCTCGAGCAGTCAATTCTTCTGCTTTTCGAAGCAACTATAGCATCGCACACAGACATGAACGAGGATGATTATATAAATGCACGCTCATCGAATCGTACCAAAAACGCAGTATTATCTTTCCCAGTTGCTGCTCTCTGTGCCCCGCACATGCACAGCGCCACGAGTTGCGCACAACGAATGTCATAATCACTACGTAGACGCTGGATTTCCTCTGTCATAGCACCAAATATTTCTTCACGCTTGCGTATACAACGAAGCTAAAGGTTTGCATGAATACACATGGAATTTGGCAATTGAGTAAAAAGATGCAGTACCATATACCAGCATTTTGGCTGACTGCTCATACGTATGTGTGGCGTCCATATAGCGATTGCTGATTTCGAGTTGTACTGAGAGATGATCTGTTCGCTTTATCTTATCGATAATGTTGTGATCATACATTGAAGCCTATCAACAAAACAATATTTCGTATCAAACCTTCGACTGTACTTCAGCTATAAACAAATGTACATTAATTTGTGCGTAGTGCATGCTGTCTATTCGCGGCGGACGCACAATGTGCTTGTCACCTACAAAAGTCAAAGCAACCGTATTCAAATATTTTATTTCTGTCAAACATTTCTTGCTCACCATGTACCTTCATCTGGTGCGAGCCAAATGCATCGTAGTTTTTTCTTGTCTCTCAAATCAAGAGAGTACAATGAATTTACGTCAGATCGCGCTGGAGCAACGTGACTTGTAAACATATATATGGGTGTTGCAGGACAATTTGTCGAGCCCCATGCTACATTTCGTCTGGCTGGACCATAAGATTCGTGTGTATTGATTGCTGACGAGCTTATCACAGCTGGAAGACGGTCGGATGCATAATTCTCACTAGTTGTATGGTGTGACATCGATGACTTTCAAATACACTGCTCAAATTATGCTAATGTCTAGATGCTGTTGTGAACTTTTACAAGTCGCCGGTTTCGATACCTGCGGATTCGCTTGAAACGACCATGGACATTCTCAAAGAAGAGCCCTAAAAATTGTGCTTTCATTACTACAAGATTCTAAGAATTCTTAATCAAATTTACCTCTCACCACAATCATCCAAAGCTGCTGTTATCTTGACTACAGTAACGTAACCTTTGAAGTTGTTTTCAAAGTTTATTGTAAATATTATTTAATCAATCAGCTATGTTCTAAACGCACCCTGGACTAATTCGCCAAAAATTTAAATCATTGTACGCCTCGTCAACAAAGCTTCGTGAGTGTGAATGTGCTTGCTCCTGATTTTCGATCACAATCTTACGTGAGTTTGTGCTAGATTTTCCTGATACTGACGAAATGGTTGGTATGGTGTGCTGAGCTGAAATTGGAATTTGTGTCATTGGTAAGTGATAGCACGGAAACATGGCATCCATACGACACAGCAAACTAGTGTACGACTCGTTAAAGCCCAATAGAGATCGATGGTGTAAAGTGCCGTCATGAGAATCCACGACAAAAACCTTACCGGAAAACACACCTATTTGAGTAAACACCACACTGTCGGTCTCACAGGTGCCAAATGCAGCGTAAAAAGGATTGACGTCACGTGGAAATAAAGCTCGCAAGGAATCAACTGCGAACACTATCGAGTTTTGGACACCTATCGTCTTGTTGGCAAGTAATTGGTCAGATGACACAAGAATTGGACCCATCGGAAGTGTGAGGTCGCTATTCTCGTCAGCGTTGTTGTGCAATAGTGTCTGGAGCATGTTGGCTTGCGAAAGACCGTGACAGGTAATATAGACAATGTGATAGCCGTTCTGAGCGAGCTTTGAGTAAAATTTGACCGCTCCTGAGTGCATAACAGAGCAATCTTTGCGCTTAAACATGCCGCCAGTGGCAGCACCACTAGAAATGGCTCCATCAAGCTTTGCAATAACAACTTTGGCCGTGAGTGGCCACAAATATAATTTGGCTGTCACGCGAGCCAATTCTTCCTCATCAAAAGACCGCAAAACAAACGAACATTCGTTCATACCCATTTTCAGCTCCATGTCGCGAAGCTCGTTTTGAGATGGCGTCAAACTCTTTTTCAAATAAGGTTCGCTCGTGAGGCTAGCAGTATCCTGCGTCGAACCGCCATCATCACTGTACACTTCATCTAGCGGCTCCAATGAAGAACGACAAAGTGTCAATTTCGAATGATCTGAGCCAGACAACTTAATAGTCTCCGCGTCTGAAACAACGGACTTGGTTGACGTCACAGCGGAAACAAACTTGCCTACGGGCAAATGTTGCGAGTACGGAAACAAAACCCTTGACACAAGATACGCTTGCATGTCGGCATTGTATGGCGTCACTTTTCCATTCACAAAAAATCGCAAGTTCGGATCATTCAGAATTTTTGCTGGATTTCTACGAAAAATGTCAAATGTGACGATGTGCTCAACAAATATTCGTTGCGCGTCTTCACAAGACTCAATTTGGTCAAGAAGATGACCACATAGTGATATAGATGGATGACTGTAATAGTCGACGTCATCAACCTCAGTAGATTCAATATCTACGGCGTCGAAATAAACGGAGGCACTTTTGACCATACTCTGTACTTCATCCACAGCTCTGTGTACACCTCGCAGGCTTGATAAAGTGCCCATATCCCACGTCAATTGATCGTTTGAAATGCTTTTCTCTACTTTCTGTTGTGCCATTTGCCCTTTGTCAGCACGTTCTTCTTCTTCCGGCTTCAAAGCCTCCGATGTAATGCAGACATCATTATTCAATGTCTCTTTCGAGTCGCCAAGATTAATGGAATTGGGTAGAGGAGAGGCGAAACAGTCCTTTTCGTCCGCGAGTTCTCCTACTTCATGGACAAAAAAAGCCTCACCAGCGTCATCAAGCTTCATTCGGATGCCATCAACAACCTCGCCGTTAACCTCCAGCGTGATCTGATGCTGATCATTCGGCTTGACTTTGCCAAAGTGAACGTGAAATGGCGAGCAGCAAAGTGACCCGTCGGGCTGCTGAACAGCCACAACATCAATGGCACCCGAGACTAAATCTTGTTGGAATACATTGCTCACGTAGTCCTTCACAGAATAAATAACATTCATCCTTTTTTAAGATCACGTTAATTCAAACTAAAAGTGCGACGCGGTAAGTTGTGGAATGGCAATGACCCAAGAAAATGTTCGTGCACCAGTTCACTGTTGTAGTGTTGTAAACGTTGAGATAGCAATAGGATAGACTACGCAGAACTTTTCCAAGTTAATGGCTTGTTTGAGGCAAATAGATAAGTGTGAGAGCTGTAGAACCTTGGACGAGACTCGATGAACCATCGTACGTAATAGTACAAGCCTAGCAAAGAAAAGGCACGAGATTCACATGCAGCTAATTTTATTGTTCTAAGGATTTAGGGGAAAAAGACTAGAATTTCGCATTTCACAAGCAAAGGATGTTATCATGACGGCTTGAATCAGGTGAGTACAGTGTCAGCTTGAAGCTACAACGGTTGTATGAATCCAAGCTTGTGAAAAACGTGATGTACTTCAACCTTTTTTTTCTCATATAAACAAACGCCTTGTAACTTAAATTCAGCTAAGAGCTCATAAGACGTTCATTGAAAGCGTAAAGTCGCTGAATGGGTACGAGACACAAGAAAGGGCGGGTGTCGAAATTACCCGCATGTATAAAATTTTCTGGTTGCGATGACACGACAAATACGTCACAAAAATCATGACACTGTTTGCTCAGCACTCCATCGTCATCGTCTTCCGATTGATGAAGTACTGTATAGTTCGTGGTTGTTGTGCAGACAATGACCCTTACGCACGAAAACTGGCTTGTTTTTTCAAATGTACTCTTCTATACCTAAGACCAACACACGGTTACAATTTTAGACTGTCTGAAGTTCTTGCTGGACAGCAAAAACTTGTTGAGGTACAGCGGAGCACATAATTAAATAGCTACGTCATTGCTCAGTAACCCCCCCCGGGCTATGAGATGGCGCGATGCTTTTCCCAATAGTTGTACCAAGTCAATCTGATTTCTTTATACTACCACCTAATCAAATCTACTTGTCCCAAAACTAATGGATTTTTGCATATATAAATATGCATATATATCAACGGCAACAATATTTGATCCAGCTGAACGAAGCCCTTCCTTCTCTTCACGCGCACCGGTGCTTCATAGTTGCTGAATTTCCATCTTGACGTCGTGATCCGCAACAAACCGGCGCGATGAGCATAAGTAAGCAAAAATATATTCAGTAATTAATATACCTAGTCCTATGTGCAAGTCATAGACCACGGCCCATGAATGTATTCACTGAGGTTCACGCTTCCTCAAGCAAGATGTTGTGTAGCAACCCTTTACACTTGGTAACATTAGTAGTCACTCTTGCACCTATGTGATAAGTAAACTTCCTGAACATACGTGATTCCGTTGGATCAGAACGATCTCGCTGATCTGAACGAGTCTTTAGAATGACTCTGATCTTAAGATGGCAAGCCTAATCAGGGATATAATATAGCAACATGGTAGTCGGTCGATCCTGTTTAATGCTAGGAAGCCTTCGAATAAAAGAAAAGTTCGTCACGTTAGGGACTCTTTCCGGGCCAGCAACTTCAGTGTTTGAGGCTCAAGGTGCAACCTTTTGAAGGGAGTGAAGCTGAAAATACTCCGGGGTCGTGAGCTGAAATTAGCCATGGAGGAAACTCCGATCACAGATGAGCGACTAGGATCGATTTGTCCCTTTCCAGCCTACATGATTGGGAAGAGAGCTGGATAAAGTGATTTCGTCTAGACGTTCTACTCTCTGGCCGTAGTTATGGAGGAGCTATTCACCGCCTTCTTCCCGGCGAAATATGAACTCTGCCAGCGTTCACTCTTTTCTGCCTTCAAGCAGGTGCGACAAAAGGAGTGCATTAAAAAGTCCTGAGAAGCAACGGGGTCCTCGATAGGAAACTCCCACTTGAACACGTTAGGGTGACGTTGAAGATGGGCGGTCTAAGAGCTGGCTCGGCTCGCACCCAGCTGTTCCGAATTTAGGCCTAGACGCTGGAGGTTGCGCTTCAGAAGCATAGCCTCAACCAAGCTCGTATCCCTTATAGAAAATACAATGACCTGCCACCTCTTGCCGGTCCAACACCAATACATCCCAAGTGGCATAGCAACATACGTTGCTATGGCTACAGCAAGCTAGGGCATATGATACGCATCTAGCGAATAAAATCAGCGATGATGTTTCCTTGCTCCCATAAAGTGGTTCCATGGATCAGGAGAAGATGCTACGATTTTGAGCTCAGGATACTCGTCTTAGCTGGAGGAGCACGGCGCTCTACTGGGTGAGACTGACTCCTGATGAGAAAGCGGAAGTGTCACGCACCGTATGGACCAAGTGCTCTCGAAGCATAATGTACCACGGAGGAAATTCAAGTGTACACGGATAAGGAGACCTCACGATCGCATCGATGATTCGAGGACTTTGCGCGCTGTAAGACGATTGCAAACACTCGCTACATGTTTGCCGATGCTTAACGCAAGAGAATAAAACCGGTTGATAGCAGTGAACCTATATGATACGAGTAGAAAGCTGAAGGACTCTAGACCCCCGAAACCGTTCTTGGTCCTAGGCGTGGACAAAGACGACTTGATCCTCGATATACCGTAGCTTGAAAAAGTAGGAGCCTTGGATCGAAAGACGTAGCAAGACTATAGGTGCCGGCCACTCCGCACGCTTCGCCAGAGGATTTGCGTGTCATAATTCCACATCTACTCTGCATTAGAAGCGCACAAGGACACCAGAAGGCTCTATTAGTGACTCATTATAAATGTTTTCACCATGATGTGGCTGTAAACTTAGCACGAAGTAAAAAATTTCGCCAACAGCAATAGTTGTAGAAGGAGCCAGAGATGCTCTTTTAGTGGGAAGTCAGATGTTGCACTCCGTTGCAAGTATAATATCTTCAATACCAGCCATACAGGCACAATTGCTTTGAGGCGCACTTAATGTTCTTCGAGTGGGTAATCAATCTTTACACCGAGTCAAATACTAATTAACCTGCCACGACAGTTCACACATTTTAATCTGTTGAGGGAGGCACGTTGGCTGGGTTACTGAGCTCTTACTTTATTGTGGGTATGGAAGCGACGCGACAGCTCGCTCAGACCATAACAGATAAAGTGTGTACCATATGCACTCTCTGTGTATCCGTTGAGGTGCCAAATTATGCAAATAATGGTGGCCTGCTGACGGATGAGAAGATTCTATACGTCGTACTTGAGATAACACAAGTCTTGGCTATTAACGGACCGTTTTATAGCAAAGAACTGCGGTGAAAAGCCAGTCCCAGGTCGCAGTTGAGCGAAAGTCAAAGGATTTGACCTCCTGTGTGGAAAGTGAAGCTATATTTGCATCTCCAATAACGTGACGAGTCGTCGCGACCCACCCAGTTTAAGGCATACCAGAGCGAGTCCTTGCTTGCATTCCATTGTGAAGCATCGTTAAACAAATCAACTTCATCCATGCATTCGTTAGCAAACCTTGAGGGGCCTGAAGTGACTAAGTTATCAAAGGCCGGTGAGTCTGTGGAAGTGGTGTTACTTGATAAGAAAGCCGTTTATGAAGACTTGAATAGTTTCTCTAATATTAACAAAAATATCCCGGACCTTCTGTACGCAGTAAGAGAAGTATCCAAAAGAGTCGTTGCGGTCATTGTTGTGAAGTATACAGACGCGGTGACACGAGTCCATCGCCAAAATCTACCAGATTAGAATGTTGTACGCGAAGTCATTGTTATGGGGCAATAATCAATCTCTTGTGAGCGGTGCGAGCGATAGGTAATAAGGCAAAAATTTGATGGCGCGGATGTTGGAATCATTCGCTTGTTGTTAACCTTATGGGATCTTAATCGAGCAAAACCTAACAAATTGTACTTTCTTACAACCACTGAGCAGTGCCATCGTGCCGACAGCGGAACAGGGAGAACGTGTTGTCCAACAGTATGTTCGGGTTCATGCGCTCGATCACATAGATGTATACTTTCAGATTTCGATGCGGGGTCTGACATTCCGCTCATATTGCTCTCCACCCCATCGATAGCCCAAGAATGTGTTAGAATATATTTTACAGTGCGGCAGCACCTGAGAAAGGCTAGTGATGCTGAGAGCTCCTCAAAGCCCCAGCAATCTCCAGTAGCTTACCAAACGGCTGGCTAGGCCCTGAGGGATGCTCACACAGATCTACTGCGCATTCTACTCGTTATGCATTCGGCTAAGAGATACAGTTTAAACACCTTCGGCGAGTGTTTAAGGTTATAAAAGTGAAGAGCCCTGACAAGTGCGTCTTCGGCGCAAATGAGTTTCAGACCTTTGATTTTGTAAGGAACAAGGTAGTCCCAACAGGCCCCGATAGGTCAAAGGGCTTTAGTGCATGCGCCCTAACCCGATACACGTCACATTTTGCGCAGCTATTTGGTGTGATAGACTTCTAACGGTAGCGATCCGCAAGCCATGCGATACCGACTCCTACCATCTCACCCGAGGGCATCACTAAGTGATAACACACTTCTTTCCAATGAGTAATTTGCATATGCCGTTGCCCAGCCAGGGTATTGTAGCGATTTCCCCACGACAATCTCGAAGGATGAACTGCAAGCATCCAACTTCAGTCTATATTAGTAGAATTTAACCCTTAGTCCCTGACCATTGCATGCATCACCAGACCCATCCCAATTTTTGATTGTAGAAGGACTCGCCTCCAACTTGGCTGTGCAGTATCGTAACCACTCCGGCCAGAACGCCGAGTGGGATTTTTGATGTCTTGACTCCTATCTGGGAGATTGTACTTGCCCCTCCTATACTTAAAGTTTGTATGGGCTTCAATTTTTGCTCGATTATAAGGTAGCTAGGCATTTTGCCGAATCTTTAGTGTAATGAAACTTATTTCTCTAGACCGCTCCCAAAAGGATGGCTACAATTAGCCAACTACCTGCACAAGTTGGATACAGATTGCACGCGGATGCAAGCGCCTGTCAAATTTGTCGAAAAGGGACGTAGGGTGGAGAAGTTATGGCTCACTGGAAGGAGTCTCTTGCTTGGAAGTCTTGCATGATATTAGATTGGTAACTAGATCAAGAGTACACCCACGAGGCTCTTGTTCAATGTTAGATCGACCATTCTGTCTAAGAAAGCTGTCGCATATACTCTGACATGACCACGTGCATAAATCGCTTTTTAACAACGCTCTTGCCGCAACTCGTGCGTGGAGTATGTGGCAAGCAATTCTTGACTAGTCAAATGTCAGGCATGTACAAGAGAGCTATGTTGCATCCACGCGGCAAAGTTTGAGAAGGTGGATTGTAGAACAAGGAGATAACACTCGCAGGTTGTGGCATAGCATGTTCTAATATATAATGGCCACCTCGTGGCAGTTTCGAATACCAAATCAAGCTAAATAGCATGATCTAATTGAATGATGGCTAGGTAGGATAACCAGCGTCAGATGTAGCATTTTGCTTGTCATTCTCACCACACCCTCATGCCACTTTCACCAAAATTTGGCTTTGCCAAGAAACATCGGCAGATAAGTCAATCCCTTTTTTTGTTATTGTGCTGGTTTAAACGTGGCGATGATTGCTAGTAGGATCTAGCTGACAGGGCTGACATTAAAATAAAGACGCAGCAATATTTCGATCAAATTGCCGACACCATGTCCACAGACTAGCTCAGTATCACCGCCTGGATCTTACTTACCACAAGCAAACTTCATACTCTTATGATTATGCATTATGTGAGCCCCGAAGAAGCGGAGATCGATCATAACCATCGATGCGTTGTATATTTGCGACACAACTATCGAGCAAAACCAGGGAAGGTCGAGAATTAAAATCTCAGCCTCTTTGCAAAGCGTAAAGAATACAGCTAAATACTTTTATTTCGACATTAGCGTATTTTATAGCAAGAATGATATTTTTATCGGTGCCAAAGCAGTAGCACAATGCCTTTTCACCACGAGGTCATCTCATCGGATCCAAATTTGCGGCATAAAGTTCGATTAACTGCTCTGTTTTCCAAAACGCCATGAAATAGCAGCGACGTTGGACTTCAGGGCACGAGGATGCTAGAGGCTCATATACCGGGGCTTTGTCAACAAAGAGCGCAGTTTCGTGAGCGATCCATCCTTATATGTCGACGATGTCATCGCTGCTTCTGGAAGCTCGAATTTGTATGTCTTGAAGCTGGTGTGAATGATAGCCACTAGCGTCGTGAGATCCATTTTTTGGTCGCCACCAATACCAGCCTATATTATTGTTTGTGAGCGCACCCGTTGCTATGTAAACTTCGACAAAGGCTATATAGACATCGTAGTTTCGTGAACGATCTATCCTAATATGTCGACGACGTCATCGTTGCTTCTGAAAGCTCGGATTTGTATGTTTTGAAGCTGGTGTGAATGATAGCCACTAGCGTCGTGAGATCCATATTCTGGTTGCCACCAATACCAGCCTATATTATTGTTTGTGAGCGCACCCGTTGCTATGTAAACTTCGACTAAGGCTATAGAGACAAACGTTTTCATTTAATTTTTTTGTCGCTATAAGTGTAATGGGGCAGCTGTTTACACGCACGCTTAATGAAGCGCTACCTTAAGGATTGTTACTGCCGCGTGGCAGTCGTACGCGCCCTTTCAGCACAACCGTGTGTGGAACTCTTGATCAATGAAGACTGAATATATTATAGGTGCTTTTATCCTAACTTAAACTAAAATAAGAACAGATGTACCTAATTGTAACCTCCTACTTATTCGCGTCGTGCACACTAAGCTGATCAGTAGCTAAGTGTGTACCACACAAATTGTGTAATGAGCCCCTGCCCCATCACACCACTCCCTATCCAAAACGGGATATGCACATATTCGAGAAAACACATATAAGAAGAACTTGTATCACTAGGGACTAGAGCAGAGCGAGAGGCATCCGTTCGGAAACAACACAGAAAGGCTCCTTCCAAGCCTGGAGACAGCGACAGCGACATGCCGTGGCAGAGATGCAAACGCCCCAAGCTGTCAAGCTTACCGAGGAGCGACGTCAGCGTCAAGCGGAGTTGCCGGTACAACCAATGTAACTGGAAACGAGGGCGCCCTCAAAGTTGAACGGCGACACAGTCCACAACAATTTTGTTTGATCTTCTCCACAAGTTGGAAAGCTGAAACAACCACCACAAATATTTCGAGTCGAGCGACAACCATATATTGGCAGACGACCATGAAGAGGAAGTGCTTCCTCCACCTCGTGTTGCCGAAGAAAAAGACTTCCAAGAGTCAGTGACTGCGTCTACCTACACCTCTAATGAGTACGCCAGCAACAACGACGCCAGCAGCCCGTGCCACACGCGGTGAACACGCTTCGCAACCACTGTGGCACATTCCACACCTTCCAAAGACCAGTGCTGGTATGGAGATCAAATAAAAAAACCTGAGATGCCGTTGGACGCCAAGCGATGAGTTAAAATTCTTCTCTCATTTGGCTCCTAGTGGAGCCAGTGGGGTTTGCAATCTCCCACTTATGGACTGCGTCACGGCAATCAGCAAGGACTTGCGAATGCGGCTACATAAGCTTGCCGAATCCGGATAGCCAAGCCATTTCTCAAGGAGCTGTAGCTCACCGTGGTGTCGACGTGCCGACACAATCTTTTCCATATGGAAGCGGGCAACCCCGCCTTTGTCTACCACCGGCAACGGAATCCTTGGTGGTTGAATTATCGACCGCGGTGTTGTCGATGGCGTTTTCGTCTGTGCTACACTCGTAGAAAAAAAGAGGCACGTTACGATGCGTCCGAACGAGGTCGTTTGTGCTCTCGGATGCAAATGCGAATGCGATCGCTAAGATGGGCCGTTAAATATCGAAGGAGACAGAATTCCTGGCAACTAAAGTTCGACATATGGAGGTGAATGCTCACGCATCAGCGTCTGCTCTATGGTCGGAAACCATCAATCCTTGGCTCAAGTGGTTTATTGCTTTGCCTACGACCGGGACCTTATCCGATGCCCATATGATCCGAATCAAGGAGGCCGGAGATAGATTACTAAAGTAGACGAGCAATCACCCCCTCCTGTGGTGTTACCGCCTCGTCAACCCGCACCAGATTGGGCGTGTTATGGTTGGGTATTGACCAGAGAAACACATAGTGTAACGAGGATCCCGGTCCTAAAATGGATCGGATATCCTCCAGCATCCCGCGCTAATGAAACCTTATTCCTAGTGTGTGAATTCTGGTAGCTTTAATCTCTTTGTGGACGGTAACCGCTCCGCTCCAAGCGGAGAGTTATCGTCTTTGTAACGGAGTTCATTAACTGTCGTGGCACGAAGTGCTCTTGGGTTTCAACAACGCGTTCGTCCTCGTTCAAGATCTCCGTCACCGGACAACGATCAACCTTTTTCGTACAATCCATACAACAACAGCAGCCGATAGCATATGGCTTGAGTAAGCCGACAAAATACGTTAGATGGATACGAATCCAGCTCGGTAAGTCCAATGTGTATGCATTTCGGCATGTTATAAAATCTTGACTAGACCAAAGTATTGTGGAAGGAGCTTGGCATATCCTAGACTAGAGATGGCAGCGTCAGTCATGTTCTTGGTACTGACCAGTACATAATCATCTTCATTGTTTTCCACGACCATGCGTATCAGCAATAGATTTATGTAAATCTTGCGCTTCCGCCATAGCATCACATACGCGTGATACAAAATTTGATCTTTTGGCCACGATCACGTCAATACTTTGAAGAATTTAACGCTTGTTTATCGTAGTGAGGTGAGGTTGAGAGGTAAACGCTTGCCGACCTCCCCTCACCACAATTTTGGGTGTCCCCTATAAGACAAAGAGGCAATGCTGGATGACGAAGGCCGACAAATTCAAATGGTGTAATGCCAGTCGATGCATGACCGCATTGTTGATGGCAAATTTGACCATCAGGATCATATCACTCCATAACATAGAGTGATATGCTTTTGACGCATAAAAATTGCGTAAAATGCTCTCTACAACGCATTTCGTGCATTCAGTTCGACCATCGGTCTCTGGATGGTTCCTGATTGACATCTTCAGGCGATGCCTAACAGACAAGATCATCTAAAAATTCGCTGAAAAGCCCGTAATTGCCCCTGGGAATGCATGATGTCGAAAGTCATGATGGATAAATAACCAAGCGCTCTGTCCCCGAGTACCAGAATCAACCGTTGTTGCGAGGTGCGCCATCCTGCTTAAACAGTCTACAATACCAAAACACCATTCATCAGGGGTAACCCAAAGAAAAAGTCAGACCGACAGACTGCCAGTAATCCGCTGGTACTCGCAGACACTGCAATGGAGCCTGGCTTTGTGGGGAGGGCTTCACGTGCTGACATACGTCACACGTACTTTAGTAGCCTACAGTGGTGTGCAAGCGCTACGTAAGTCTTTTCTCGACTGAAATGACCTGCGATAGGAGTATCGTGTACTTCATACACCAACTTGTGCTTCAGGTCATCTCCTTCATGTACTTGGTAGTACAAAAATCCGTCCTCGAGGGAGTATCAATGAGTTCGGACAAGAACTCGTAGGGATAATGTCGATAAGACTGAATTATCTACGGTCGACAACCACTCAAAAATAACAACACAAGCTGGTTCGTCTGGACACTCTTGTCGTATCATGTCGACACGCTGGAAGTACACGAATAATTTGTGATCGGGACGCCGATATAAAACATCCACTAAGACATTCAGTTTGCATGACTGATAAGCCACCGTTAGGTTTTATTATGCAAAGAACGACAATCAATGGGCCGTCCGTTGTTACATAGGTAGGCGTTTGAGTCGCTGTGTACAACGATGCGTGGTCGGTAAAAACGACGAATGGCTTGGAGCCCACGAGTTAGACTCTAAATTTTACCAAAGCATATTTTACTGCTTACATTCTTTGTCGTGAATGGAAAATTCCGTTTTAGCTGCCTTCAGCCCTCATGATCGATATGACATGACATTTTTCTTACATTAACATCTTACTGCAGTAATGCAAATCCGACCGCATGGTCGGAAGCGTCGCACACAACACTGTACGGCAAATTGTCATTTGTTAATACCAGTATAGGCGCTGCCTGCAAGCTGTGCTTGATATCGTCGAAGGCGACTGCTCAGTCATTTGTCTAAAACCAACTTGATCTTTCAGCAACTAGTTCGATAACGGGCTTGCCATGTCGGTATCATTTTTGGTGTATCAATGGAAATATTTGGCCAAACCCAGCCATTTCCTTGGATTCTTCTGGTTAGCTAACATGAGATCACTTTGATCTTTGCTGAGTCTGCCCGAACACCGTCGATGCCGACCAAACAATAAAAAACTGGAAATTTTTCGGCGCCGAATCTACATTTATACACACTACAATACCTGTTTCAAGTGTACGAGATGAACTTGATCGATAGTCTGATTCTTTTGGGATTTGACGAACGAAAATATCGTCCGAATACGTTGACGCAAACGATCGCAATGGACGAAATAAAGTAGTAACGAGACGGTTAGATGTCGCTGCCACATTGGAGAATTCATGTGGCATCACAAGCAACTCCCGTAGCATATTGCTAGGTGTGCTCACTGCAAATATGGAATCGATGCAGGATCCAATTAAAGTTGATAGTAGCCATCTACTAGACCAAGTATGCTACAGCCATTCATTTTGTTGATTATGACATCCTTGCAAGAAAAAATGGTATGTGCTGGCACCGTATTGGCGTCCAACTTTTTGTATGCCTGTACAATTCGCCACTTGCCACTGGGTTTGCGAGCGCAAATCTGTGGGGAGCTTACTCTCTATCATTTAGCTCTGCTGCTGTTTAGCAGCACAGAACGAGTCTATAAACTCAGATACTCGACTGGCAATGGTAATTGACGCGATAACAGATAACAGATATCCATACCTGGCTCGATTTCGACCTCGTGTCGAATAACTCGATCTAGCGGGAGGCCACGTGGGAGTTCCGGACTCAAACACGTTGACGTGTACCAGGACACAAGGGCGAAATAGAATTCGCGTAGATCCTTGAAGACCGCGTCGTGATCCAAATCGCTGAAGAAAATCTTGGACAACACTTGAATCCAATAACAGAGGACGTATTACCCTCTTCTGTTGCTGTGCTTGCACTCCAAATTCTAACGACTTCGATGGAGGCGCCATTTATGATATCGAAATTTGAGGTAAGGTACTTCATCCAGGCTCGTGAAAGCAGATATTTCCGGCAGGGGGCCATATAAGGCTGGTCGGGTAATTCCGTCACTGCGTTCACAACTAAGACTTGTGCTTCCCAGTGATCTGAACCACTGGAGCATTAGCTTCAACCGTAGATTTAACTAGCGTAATGAGCATCCACGATGAATTTCTGAGCTTCCCCGGTAGAATCAACTGTTGTAGCATGGGCTTCTACAGTATATATATTCACTGGAGCAAAAACTAATTTCGACACAACTGGCGTCGCAAACCGCATCTTCTTGGTGACTTGTAGCTTCACAACTATGTCGCAAACGCCGGTATAGTGAACTTTATCTCAAATTGCGAGGTTGCCACGTTGGTGGATAATCACAGACGTGTAATGACGTCCGTGCGTGTGACTTCCATCCGGCGAGCTATTCGCAATATATCTTGTTCGTCAGTCGATCCATGGCTCGTGGTCTTTTAACACGCATACCTTAGGATGAGATCATAACGATCATCTATGTCGATGGCGGAGAGCGCCAACTTTAAGTCACAGTCCGAGAATTTGACACGTAGATCAATTTCGATCCTCTGTTGCGAAACAATCGCACACGTCGTAAGACGGGTATTAATGTTCTCATTAGAGAAGCGGATTCTCCACAATACTCGTTTTTAAAGCGTAAAAAGTCGACGCTCCAGAGTCAATAAGGAATCTGAAAAGTCATTTAGATTGTTTCACCGTTGCCAAAACAACGAGAAGGCTTCACTTCCTCTCTGCCTTCGTGGGAAGTGGAAAAGTTGCTATTCTACCCTAGTAGGCTGCAAAGCGCCTACTAGGCCTGCGCGTTTCCCGTCGACGGGGAAAACACATCGGGAAGCGCGACAACATCGACGTTGTTGGGGGTGGGCATCCTTGACCGCTGTGGAAATTGGCCGAACAGCCACTTGGACAACCGGGGTCGGAGGAGTAGGGCAACACGATGCACCATGTGTTCCATAATGTTCGGTTCCGACGTAAGTGAACTTGTTACCTTTGTCGCGACTAGTTCAACAAGGTCGGCTTCGTATGCCTTAAAGGAGTGGACGTGCTCCTTGATCTCATCTTGGTCGTGAAGTAACAATCAAGCGGGTGCTTCACCATCAAAGATTCGATAAATCTTGCCGACGGCGTCCCATTCCGCATCGGACAAATACGGATAGTTGGGGTGGTCAAACAGTGACGATTGGCATGGGAAGTTAGTCTGAAGGCTGAAATTGTAGATCTTCGATGTCGGCGGTGGATTGATCACAAAGTGCTACCAGGTGTAATGGAGCAGCTGGTTACACGCACTCTTGAACTGAGGTAGCGTTGTATTGAGGCTTAGTCTTCTTGCGTATCATTCGATTGGGCTCCTTTAATTACAACCGTGTGTGAATTTTGTGATCAAATGAAGAGCGCATATATTATAGTTTTTTATCCTAATCCTAATCTTAACCTAAAATAGAAATAATGTACTTGAATGTAACCTCTTGCTAATTAGCAAATTGCACACTAACCAGTTATTAAGTGCACACACAAACTATGTAATGGGACTACCACCTAATTACAACAACCGAACTCAGCACTGCTTATAAGATAGAACCGAATATTCATGGTTAATGTAGCCAGATACAATTAATTAGTTTGATATTCTTGAGTAACAGTCCCTTGGTGGATGCACTGCGTGAGGCTTCGAATCCTACGGAGCTCTTAATTTGAATCATTGGTTGGATATCGTAAGTAGTACCTTTTCCCACGATACTTGGTCACGGTGTTCCAATTCTGGTCCTGTTCAAGATTCCTTCACAATTTGATTCCGTTGAGATCACAAACCATCCGCATCGCAAATAGTTCCGCGGCACAAAATAATGGCTTATCTCTGTAGCTCGCACCATGCATTTGAACATTCTTGATCGCATGGAGCGAGGAGACACCAAAAATGGTGAGGAACTTGTTGTGAGCGCCATAAAGGCCAACTTTAGTAAGTGAGGCGATGTGTAATGCGATAAGAGACCCATCGAGTTCTGACTCACCAGTCCTACCTACTTTTAAAATTTCACGGCTTTGCTACATGGAACTTTGATAGAAAGTCATTTAGAGAACGAACAAGCTGTACGTAGCACACGCAAACCGAGCGAAAAACGGGAACGCTCATGTCTTTCTAGTATTCGTCGAGGCCGAAAAAAGCGAAAGTAGTGGCGGGGATATTCAAGCTTGCCTAGCTGCGCACACCGCCCCAGTTCACCAGAATGGAGCTCGGTCAGAATGACCTTGAATATAGAAATATGGCTGATAATAACGCGTTGTCACCGACCCTCGATAGATATGGTTACAAATGGATCACATCGTGACTATGCTTTGGAATATTCCGATCGTAAAATGTATTTTGACGCAGCTCTAACAGCTCTTAGGCATAAGCTTGCAGCTAAGTCTTGGTGTAAAGCGCTTACTATTAAACCCAACAAGGCTCTACTATCGTTTATGGCTAGATTAGCAGCGGTGACATCAGTCGTTGCACTCTTTAAAATGAATTGTGGTATGGTGAAAGTGCCTATGACTATATGGCTCAATATGAGCTCCAACTGAGAAATGCTCGTCACCTCTCCAACTTGTGGCCTCAAACATTAGTCTTTAAGTATGATACGCTCGACTGAAAATATAACTGAATACTTGACGCTGCAAATTTCCAGGCGCGACGTCTTTATCGGAATGATAACACTCATGCTTGTATGCATGAGATCGCTTATAAAGCTATCGATAAATCTAAACTTATCACAAAGCCAAAAACCCACACTTAAGTGAATTGCGCGTTGTGCCGCACTACCCTGGGGTCGATTTAATGATAGGAGCTAAGTCAATGGTATTAAGGAAGCTTGGTCGGGCTATTTTTTCGTAAACTCTCAGAAATTTTAAAGTGAGGTCAATGTCTCCATTTTTATCACATACTGTCGCTGACCTCAATGACTGCACCGAGCCACAATCTTATCCGGGCATTGCCTTCCCGTTTGAAGAAATCCTTTCAGCGTTTGAGCTCGACAAACCTCACCTAGAGATCCAGCGCATGTTTATCGAAGACGTCGGACGCCGTCCCAGAGCTTCACAGTGGAATAGATTTTTTGAAGTCACTTCAAGCGGTTCAGAGCCAGATACTTCCTTTGGGCAGAAGCTCCGCTACAAGGGTCACTTTTGACGCTTTATCTGCAACAACACACTTCGCGTCCGGGTGACTCATAAGAAGAATCCCCACAAGAGGAATCCTCGTTAGCTCGCTTAGAAAACGGATGCAATCGCGTTTGTTAAGAGTTATCATGAGCCGCATCGTAGCTCAGATTGTAAAGAGCTGAAGTAGCAAAGGTAAATAATCGTTTCAAAGACTGCTGACACCGCAATTGTAGGTAGAGTGGTGGCATATAATAAAGCACTATCACCCAATTGATATCCCTATATTTGACATCTGCATGCTCTTTATCGCATGTCCGAGCTTCCCGGCAAAGCTTTGCGCATTTGGCGCATGATGCTGAATCTCTTTGAGATATATTTTGATAAATTCTGCTATGAAGTGTAGCCGAACTGCGTAGAAATCAGTAAGTCGATGAATATAGATAACCTCTCCCTCCAAAACCGAACCACTTCGGGGAGCTGTCAAGAAGACACAGAAGGTTCTCAGACCACTGATAAGATGTGACATGAATTATGAGGCGACATGAAGTGCGCTGTTTAGCAAGCACCATGAGTTAAGTATATCCCTCCGGTACCGCCGTTGCTCTATGCATGTGCTGTGGGGATAGCCTAAAGCACACGACAAAAGAGTTCCTTTTGATAGTGATCTGTGATGTGTCCGCAATAGACACATTCAATCTAAGGCCAAACAACCTCGACAACGTTCGCTGATGTTTTTATGGAAACAGTGGATTTTGTGCCGGGAGCGGGTCAGACTTTCTAGCAGTGACATCGAGCGTAGACGATGCTATTGTGTACGGCAGCGTTTAGCAATTCATTGGTGTGAGTTTCATTTGAGGCCTTCTTCAGTAGGCTTTCAGACATACTGGTATTGCGATATTTGTCAACATTCTGATCAAAATGGTTCATTTCTTGTGTCAGCGACACCTGCGCCGTCAAGACTTTTCCTGGGTATACTATTTCTTAACTTGCCTGTCATCATTTTTATACAAACACCGGTATGTCAGGCGTGTCAAGGAGACGATATACAATGTCGCCCTTTTATAAAGTATGCAAGAAGTTGATCAGGTAAGAATTTTTGATATTATATTTATTCTAAACAACCAATATTGTGCATCTCGTGACAAGTTGTTTGCTACTGTATAGGCAACTGTACTGACGAGCCAACGATATGAAACAAAAGCTTAAGCGCTAGAGCGAAAAGTTGAATTCGACACCAAGGTAACAGAGCCAAGTGTTTGCATGCAAACAATTAGTGCTTCATAATAAGGAGCAGTAGAAACTGCAACAAGCATGTTCTGCGTACGAAGCAAATGTCCTTTGGTCATGGCGAAGCTCAACGGTACCGTGATCCAATACCGTGGTGAAGTACGGTGAGTTTGATATCAGAGTGATGGGACTCCAAGTTTCGCAGGACACGTGACCTGCGACCATCATCCTTACACGTATCCCTGGATCAAGTGGTTTGTAGCTTGGTTTGGGACCGGAAGGTACCTGGTTTGATACCCATAGGATCCGAATTAAGGACGCCGGGGATAGGTCACTAAAATGGACGAGTAATCACCCCCACCGCCCTGCCAACCATCCAATTGGGTGTGTGATCCACTGACCGAATCGACCCCATAATGTGAGGAGGGGTACGGAACCCGATCCTAAAGTGGGTCTGATAGCTATCAACATCCCGCGCTTGAGAGCTTGACCCTAGCGTGCGGGTTCCGGTAGCTTAATTCTCTACTTTGCTGGCGTGATTGCAAGCTTGGCGATATAAACGCTCTCGTGGCGATGGACTTCAAAGACATGAACAGCACGGATCTAACATACGACGCATTGCTCCGCAGACTCAAGTCAACCAAAAGGCTATAGTCACAAATGTCAATACATCGATGGTGCTGCCTCATTCATGGCCCTGCAGTAATTTAGTCCCAGCACATACCAGATGTGCCTTGTTGACAAATCATACGCAAGTCTTTAAAATGCTAACGTTTACCGACTAAACAGAGAACGACCCAATTCTTCAGGGTAAATGGCTTCTGAAACGCATTTATAGTACTTAACCAAGCCGAAACGCTAAGCTTCCACACGTTTTTATGATACCACCTCATCAGTATGATGTCCATCGTCCACTTTCCAGACGTGCTTGTCGCCCTGAAAGCGTAATAAATTATGGAGCCTTAATTTTTCCAAATTTCTCTCATCGAATTGTTTTAGTCCTGGGTAACAAACCATCAAACTTGATGAAAATCTCCTCCGCTGTTGCCGCTTGAGTGTCTTTCTTTCGCAACCTAGTGGGTACAGAAATGACATCTCACAATTAAGCAAAGGACAAACATCATGGAGAAGAGGCTGCAAGCGACTTTGACTTCGATGCGACTTCATAAATCAGCCTTCAAAATTAATAGGATATTACATGCACAGTAAGAGTACTACACTCGGACAAGCTCATTACAAGAACATCGTAGCACAAAACTAATCCTTTAGTAAAATGAAAGATAAATAATAGTGGCTGTTGTAAGCTGCGCGTGTACATGTCCAATTGAGTTCTACCGAACATCCTCCCAATTATTTTGAAGATAATTGGATCAGAATATAAAAACCACGACTTGATAGAGTCTCACTTGCTCCGATGACCAATCTTTGAAGGTATCGCCAATACCATATACAAGCATTGATTCATTGTTCGCCTTGGTAGCGAGGTATCTTAGACTTTGATATTTCATCATACGGAATCGACTAGAGCCGGTATAACGGCAAGTGCTGCTCCCCTTTCCGTCGTGGGAATTGCACTGGACGACATAGGCGACATTTTGTCAAGTTCGGCAGCCTTGTAGTCCCGCATGCTCTGTGATTCGGTATACTGAATCGTCTTTTCATGATTGTATGTGCGCGTGACCTGGTTGATATCTGGTGGTGTGTACAGCTCAGCAGATCCTTCACAAGCCACAAACTCAAATCGAACAGCATCTCCACGCATGCTCACGTCCAACAACACGCCGTCGTCCCGTGCACCCACGTATCGTCTGTGCTGATTCATACTTCGTAGGTATCCCAGAGTCGAGTACTCCCATGTAAGGCCCGACTTTCCACGTACAGCAATTGGCTCTTTCATCCTAAGATCACGAAAGCAGCTAAATGTCGATCGACTAAACATATAACAACCTGTATCCTCATGATAAAATCGAACGCGAATGCTATTGTAGCCCCTCGCGTAACACTCAAGACGAAAAGCTGTCCGTCCACACGTTGTTGGATCGTCTCCCTGCGGTACAATACTCACCGTTTTGTCGGCTTGAACTCGTACGTAAAGACCCCCTTGCACTCTAAGAAACACGCTTGAGCCTGATAGTTTTAGCACATTATTAACTACAGCGCGAGAGATTGCCTTGATCTCTTCCACTTCTTTCACAAGTGCATCCACATCTTCTTTCGCAAGTCTTTTTTCAAATGGTACACGACCCTTAACTTTTGTAAGTGTTTGCTTGCACCATTGTTCCCCCGTCATACACCAATGAGCTGCATGTTCGCAATTTTGAGTAAAAATATTAAAATCTCCTCGACCCAAGCCCAGTAAGAATTTACAACGTGCCAAGACAACTTCGGGTAAATCAGCTTTACTAAGATGTACTTCACCCCACCTAGACAGCACTTCGCGAAGTCCTGAAGTATTGTACTCGACAAGACGCAAATGCTTTTGATTACGTCCATAAAGAAATTCTTCTAAAGTCGAAATTCGAAAGCACGAGTCGGCTTGTGCCTCCTGATAGCCTTCAAGCGGACTCCAGACGTGGCATACCCGAATCTCAGCGATAGTAGAACCTGATGTCCATACGATACCATGGTGCTGATACGATATGGGCCAACGACTATAGTCCCAAATACAAACATGATCACCAGGTCGCAATGACGCGACATTTAACACGCGAGTGTATACACCACCCATAATTCCTTTGCTAAGCTTTGTCTTCACAGGCAAAATGATGTGCCTTGTTCGTATAGGTAAACAAAAGTGGTCAACAAAAGTTCAGACCACTGGATGCACTCTTCTTCGAAATAGTCTGACGGCTGGTATACTCGAAACTTTGCGATATTATTGGGAATGTGAAAGTGCAGCGCGACATCACATCTTGTCTGACTTGCTGGTGTGCTAGACATAATCAGGCAAAAATTTTGTCGATTACTAATTATATCTCAAACCCCTTAGATGTAATATACGAGATATTTAGAATAGACTTTAAGATTAAGAGGAACAATTTGATGACTGAACAAACACCTGATTGACCAATCTACCATTCTTGGATCATTTTTGTGCTATTACTCTGTGATTGTACACGATAGACTTATATATATATATTAACAAGTTTACTTTAATACAGTTGCCCTTTGTAATAGAATATTTTTCTAGCAACATTCTCAGTTTTGTCGTTATGCAGCGTCACGTCTATGAATGGGTTGCTGGCAAATCAATAAAGGGACTTGTCCAGTCGCGTAACTGCGAGATCTAATACAAAAGAATCAATTTCTATATGAAGAAAGATTACATAATCTCCCCGTACCCTGTAATGGTGTATTTATACATTACCTAATGATTAAGTATTTCGATGCGGGAGGGGACGCTCATACCATACAATGCATTTAATTGTATTTATTCAAAAATAGTGGAACAGATTCATTTATCATTAAATTACACATAGGATACTTAATTAAGCAGAAGTGAACGTAGTCATTTAAAAGACCTCGATCTTGAACTTATACGCGGACTCATAGGTATAAGACAACTTCGTTGCATCAGGTATCACTTGCCGATATTTCGACGACCGAGTCTGAAAAGATCTGTAACATTTCTGAGGATAGAGCATATATTGTTCTCCTATCTATCCGAGGGAGAAAAAGGAGTCACTTAATGAGCCTCTGACTTTTGTCGTCCCCAAGTGATAAATAAAATCGGACTTAGAGGCTTAAAGTGGTCATCGGTCGTTAGAAGGCGTTTATCAACTATGAAATGCGCTGGTGATATATGCAGCGGGGCTGCCGTAGCTCTTTGCTTAGAGCAAGCTAAACTAAGGTAACCGACCTTACATTTTTCCAAGAACCAGTACAAGTGTAGGGGATTGCTATCCGCTACTTCTGAGTACTAAAGCCTTACCGAGGCAAAAGAACACTTCTATTCATAAACTGCAGCGGGGCTGCCGTAGGAAAACGCTTGGGAAGGTGTACTTTAGGTTCCCGACCTTTTGTTCTTTACAAGAACCGAGTATGAGTTAGCGAATCGCAATCCGCTTACTCCAAAAGTAATTATTGCCTTTTCAAGGCTAATCGACTCTTTGCTTTAGATTCCAAACTGATTTTATTTATTTATTTATTTATTTATCCTGATTCTAAAAGTTAAGATCTCCTAAAAATACTAAATATATATAGTAAATCTAAATACATGCATAACTACTGGCTACCTAGCCCCGAACCGTATTCTTGTTTGGTTGTGGTCACACCATGCACATTTCGTGTGACACACACCCCTGTTATCAGGGGTTCGTGTAACCCCGTTACTCCCAGCTCCAATCGATTATTGCCTCAACGAGACTCGCCTCTCCGTTAGACATGGCAACTTGGAATTTGACAACTTTCTTGCTCAATGAGCTCTATGTCCACGACACGAAAATCATCAAGTCTCGCTGGTTCTGACAGCGAGCACGGGTAGAGCCCAACTTCGTCCCCCGCAGGCAGTGCGATGTCGGAAAGTGCGTCCGCGGCACGTGTATACCCTAGGCTCGATGAGCACAAACGTCGCGCTCCGCGCACGCTTTCAGTGCCGAGTGACCTCGTTGAGTATGTGGTCGACTATGAGTCTGACACCTCTTATCCCGCATGCGATGACGAGGAAGGCAAGCTGCACCAGCAGCGTGATACGAGCCCTGCTTGCGCCTTGCGAACCCTGTCCGTTCCCTGACTTCTCGTCAACTGAGGAACGTGGTGTAATCACCAACGACCTCGACGGGAAAGAGAGGCGGCAGCTTGAAGCTGCCCATAAGGCGGCTCTAAAGCGCGCCTATCCACGGTCGGTCATTGACCCTCGTGTGGAATATGGCTTCCGCCCTGCGGATCCCGGAAGGACGCGGTAACTCGATCGTTACGCGTCCACATCATCGAGTCCCCGGCCAGAACGGATGATGGACTTGCCACACGGAAAGCTTTTCGAGCTCGTTTCTTTTTCCCACGAAAAAATCCGTTAAACGTTTATCGCACTCGTCTAAGTGCTCAACGAGGTGACTCTCGTGTACCCGCAATGCGAACAATACCTGTAGTGCTCGCCTTGGCGAAAGCACTACAGATCACGAAGCGCTCTTTGAGCGATGGGTGCAACGGCACCGGAAATTTTCCTCACTGCATAACCTGCAGTTGAGCCACGAGAAAGTGGACGTTCGTGTGGAGCGACACCTCCATTTGAGTTTGCCAAACTCAAGGCACGCCGTCGAGTTTCTTCGGATTGTCGCCCTGCGACGTATGGGTTCACAACCCCTAATGGTCCCGCGAGCTTTGTGTCTTCGACCGCAAGAGCTCAGTGCCACTGCTTGAGCTCAGCTCATGGCCTGCTACTTCCCTGGCTACTGATGACGCGGGACGTCCTAGTCTTTCTGATCAAAAGCGTTCACGGCGACTGGGCAATCTTGCTGAAGTGGCGCCTCGAACTCCCACAAGTTTTCGGAGTCGGGATATCCCCGCCACTTCACAAGATATTGGGTCTGACCCTGGTGACG